TCCCAATCTACAAAGATGGCCATTGGGGCTCGTGGAAAATTGGGGTATATTACTGGTGAAGAGGTGAAACCTGAAACTGGCAACTCCCAATGGGTACAAGAAAATTATATGGTAATGACATGGTTGTGTAATTCCATGTTGCCACATATAAGTAAATTTTTTATGGGCAAATACTGCTAAGGAGATATGGAATGGGGTTGCAGAAACCTATTCACAAAAGGAGAATGTTGCTAGGGCTTATCAACTAAGAAATCAAATTATTGCTACAAGGCAGGGAGATAGATCTGTTGCAGCTTATTTTTCAGTCCTTAAGACCCTGTGGCAGGAGATCAACCATCTAGAGACCTTTGCTTGGGAAACCACCAAGGATGCAGCTACCTATCAAAGACACTTAGAGAAGTATAGGGTGTTTGAATTCCTTGCTGGCCTTAACCCTAAGTATGACATTGCACGACAGCATCTTCTTTCCAGGGACAGTGTCACTCTCTCCCAAGCATATGCATTTGTGTTAGGAGAGGAGTGCAGGAGGGATGTAATGATGAAGAATCCCATGTCTGATCAGTCCGCTATGGTAAGTGCTGTGAAATCTAAACAGAATGGCAATGAAAACAAGGAAGACAAAAGGGACTTAGTTTGTGACTACTGTAAGAAGCCTAAGCATACAAGAGATACTTGTTGGAAGCTTCACCCACATCTTGTGTCGACCAGATTGAAGAATAAGAAAGGAAATGGGTACATGGCAGTTACCGGTGACACTCCGGCCCCCCCTACTACAACTGCTTTGGAGTTCGTTGCAGCTGCTGCAGTAAGGGCCGAGCTTGAGAGGTTTGGGTTACTCCTGAATCAAAGGGATACAGCTAGTTCCAGTTCAGCCGCAAGCGGATAACAAGGTACAGGTAGCACAGGTGGAGCTCACTCTACCTCCTTTGCCCACAYMRGTAGTYCACATGTCACTGCAAAYTATGTTTCTGCTTCAGGTAAGGAGAGATCTCCTTGGATTATAGACTCTGGAGCCTCAGAGCACATGACCCATTGCTCCACTATTTTCTCCTCTTACCAGCTCT